GACCCTGTTGCAACATGACCGAGACCCTGATGCACCATGGCCGAGACCCTGACTGAGACCCTGACTGAGACCCTGATGCACCATGGCCGAGACCCTGACTGAGACCCTGATGCACCATGACTGAGACCCTGATGCACCATGGCCGAGACCCTGACTGAGACCCTGATGCAACATGACCGAGACCCTGATGCACCATGGCCGAGACCCTGACTGAGACCCTGATGCACCATGACTGAGACCCTGATGCACCATGGCCGAGACCCTGACTGAGACCCTGATGCAACATGACTGAGACCCTGATGCAACATGGCCGAGACCCTGACTGAGACCCTGATGCAACATGGCCGAGACCCTGATGCAACATGACCGAGACCCTGATGCACCATGGCCGAGACCCTGACTGAGACCCTGATGCAACATGGCCGAGACCCTGACCGAGAGGTTGATGCCACATGACTGAGGGGCTGATGCAACATATGTCCGAGCACCCTTAATTGTTGGAAGAGGTTCCCGTCCAACATGCCAAGTTTCCAAAAATCCCTCAATATTGGAAAGAGGTTCGTGTCCAACATGCCATGATGCAACATGGCCGAGAGGCTGCCCGGGAGCATGATGCCCCTAATAATGGGAAGAGGTTCATGCCATGCCTTGCTCATTCAACAGTCTTTGGTGGGATTGTTGCCATGCCTACAAGATCCTCGGCATTTGGGGGCATCAAAACAACATATATAAGTTTCAAACTAATTTTCTTAGTTTGTCATTGATTTCTAGGTTATCTTTGGCATTATAAAGAGTTTCCTAATTTTAAATACCTTTTCTTACTATTTATCGCATTTTTTACTTGAAAAATGAAAATAATTCATTTTAAATGCATATCGAGTCCCAAAAATTAGAAAGACTCTCAAATTAGTATTCTCAAACATTTCTATTGTGCTTTCATCAATCATAACCCATTTCTACTATCTTTTGTATCATTGTTTCCCAATTATCGCTAATTTCCCCATTTTCACAAGAAAAATTCAAAACCTTATTTTAAGACACCTTTTGGGACCCAAAACATTTTCTAAAATCCTAACTATTATTCTTACATGTTCCCGTGAAGTTTCGTAATTTTTGGACACCGTTTACTATTTTTCCTATTTATCGGGTATTAAATATTCAAAAATTAATTATTAATTACAGAAAATCCGAAAATTAAAAATTCTTGTGCGAGATTGTGCTCTCTATTTTTCTTCATCCAATGGTACCATTGGATCTTCGGGACAACTTGGTTTGCTCAAAAAAACCCCAGTATGACTCCACCGGCAGGGGTGATGTTTCCTTCTGGAAGATGGTAAAGGGCTTAACATCCACCTTGAGGAGGGGGGTAGTGCTCTCAAGCCTTGCTGGGCTGGCCAGCTAGCTTGACCGAGCATGTTGCAACGTGATGGGACATGATGCTAAGTGTGTGGGTCACGAAGGGAAGGTTGCTTGGTTGTGATGCTTAGATGTTCCTCCTCGACCTCGAATGCCCGAGGTGCACATCCAACCTGCCCGAGCTGACCAAAACGAGTATGCAACCATGTGTTCGATGAAATGCCCGAGTGAGCTTATCGGTGAAATTCAGCCTTGATCAGGACAAGATCTTGGCCATTGCTTAGATGTCCCTTGTTGGTTGACCGAGATGCCCCCAATGATGCAAAATAGCCAAGCAACATGATATAAAATGGCATAGACCCTGCCCGGGAGCCTGTTGCAACATGGCCGAGATCCTGCCCGGTAGCCTGGTGCAACATGGCCGTGACCCTGCCCGGGAGCCTGGTGCAACATGGCCGTGACCCTTCCCGGGAGCCTGATGCAACATGGCCGAGACCCTGCCCGGGAGCCTGTTGCGACATGACCGAGCATCCTGATGCATCATGGCCGAGAGCCTGTTGCGATATGACCGACCATCCTGTTGCAACATCACCGAGCACCCTGATGCATCATGACCGAGCATCCTGATGCATCATGACCGGGAGCCTGTTGCGACATGACCGAGCATCCTGGTGCAACATGGCCGAGAGCCTGTTGGGACATAACCGAGCATCCTGATGCATCATGGCCGGGAGCCTGTTGCGACATGACCGAGCATCCTGATGCAACATGGCCGAGAGCCTGTTGCGACATGACCGAGCATCCTGGTGCAACATGGCCGAGAGCCTGTTGGGACATGACCGAGCATCCTGATGCATCATGGCCGGGACCCTGTTGCGACATGACCTAGCATCCTGATGCAACCTGGCCGAGAGCCTGTTGGGACATGACCGAGCATCCTGATGCATCATGGCCGGGAGCCTGTTGCGACATGACCGAGCATCCTGATGCCACATGGCCGAGAGCCTGTTGGGACATGACCAAGCATCCTGATGCCACATGGCCGAGAGCCTGATGCAACATGGCCGAGCATCCTGATGCAACATTGCTGGGCACCCTGATGCAACATGACCGGGAACCCCGATGCAACATGGCCGAGAGCCTG